TGTCTTCTTTTGTGTTTGTTTTTTATTGTATAGCAGTGAAAGCATGTCACTCTTGTTTTGTTTTGCTACCGCTGTTGCCAAAAAGGGCGGCGTGGCCTCGTCAGGCACTTCAAAGTGCCTTTAGCCATGTCCCCCGAGACATTCTGTAAGTTCTGTCTCAAATAAACTTATACAAACAAACAAAACAAACAAAACTTTCGGCCGGCACTGGCACGATACTGAAAAGTATTGCCGTGCTGCTTGGGAACGGAGGTGATGACATCTTACTATCGTGCTTCCAACGCTTATTTATTTTATTTCTCTCCTGGGACGCGTAAAAGAGCACTTCTGTGACACACCAGAGATATTCGAAACTTGGGCTGGCCTCTCGGCTTTCTTTGCCACTTTTGGCACTTATTTGGCACTTCAGTGGGTAGCCAGAAAAGAGCCAAACTTCGGCATGCCCCGAATCGACAAATTAACATTTACTGCGGCAGTTATGGCTCAAGTCTGGCACTTACTTTGGCACAACTGTGGCGGACCAGAGAAAAGCCAAACTCGGCGAGGCTGAAATACCGAAATTAGGCGTTGCTTTGGTAGTTATGGCTCAAGTATGGCACACTTCGGCACTCCTGTGGCGTATCAGAGAAACGCCAAATTTTGGCGTGTCCGAAATACCCAAATTAGGCGTTGCTCTGGCAGTTATAGCTGAATTATTGCATCAACTTTGGCGCTCCTCTGGCGGACCAGAGAAACGCCAAACCTTAGCACGTCCCAAATACCGAAATTAGGCGTTGCTCTGGCAGTTATGGCTGAAGTATGGCACCAACTTTGGCGCTCCTCTGGCAGACCAGAGAAGCGCCAAACCTTGGCATGCCCCGAATTCCCAGTTTAGGTTTTATTATGGCAGTTATGGCTCAAATCTGGCACCAACTTTAGCGCTCCTCTGGCGGACCAGAGCAACGCCAAACTTTGGCATGTCCAAAATACCTAAATTGGGCATTGCTGTGGCAGTTATAGCTCTAGTATTGCACTACTTCGGCAATCCTGTGGTGGACCCGAGAAAAGCCAAACTTTGGCACGTCCCAAATACCGAAATTAGGCGTTGCTCTGGCAGCTATGGCTGAAGTATGGCACCAACTTTGGCGCTCCTCTGGCGGACCAGAGAAACGCCAAACCTTGGCACGTCCCAAATACCGAAATTAGGCGTTGCTCTGGCAGTTATGGCTGAAGTATGGCACCAACTTTGGCGCTCCTCTGGCAGACCAGAGAAATGCCAAACCTTGGCATGCCCCGAATTCCCAGATTAGGATTTACTATGGCAGTTATGGCTCAAGTATGGCACCAACTTTGGCACTCCTCTGGCGTACCGGAGAAGAGCCAAACTTTGGCATGCCATAGGATCGCCCAACTTAGGCTATAGTTAGGCACCGTACTTTGGCACTGATGAATGCCATGGTGCAAAAACCGAACTGCGCCAAAGTTGGGCCCTTATGTTTGCCAGACCTTTGCCCAAGTTGGGCATTCCTCTGGCGTGCTACCTAAGCAGTGTTTTTTTTTTTTTTTTTTTAATATATATATAGCCGCGCGGAACGGAGCCCCTACCCGAATGCATGTCGAGGCATTGATTGCCACGAGCCAAAATCGAATGCCTACGCAGACTTCGTGTCCACTGTATGAGCAACATTTAAACATCGTCACGGCGGGGATCGCAAAGTTTGATGACGCACTCCTGGGGATCGCAGTGTTGGCGTTGTCTCCACCGCTCCGTCGTCCAATTTTGCGAAGGAGAGACTGAAAGTAAAGGTTTTCCATAGTAACCCTGAGACGTAGTAAAATAAAAGAAAAAAAAAAAAAACGGACAGAACAGTCTCTAACACAAGTAAAGGTTCACTTTTAACCTTGGAATTCCACCGCGACCAAGACACTTCTTGGTAAGTGGCGCTGCGTTCGAGTATTCTCGGGTCCCACTAGTGTCAATAAGCTGATGGAAAGTGTGAAACGTTCCTACTCAATATCGTTGCACCGCCCCTTTAATGACCCGAACATCACATGAGTGCAAACCTTCCCGCGTCAATGGCTGTCATTAGTAATACTGTTCTTTTTAAAGGGATACTGCAACGAAATTCTAGCGCCTATTTTATTGTTTAAAGTCAACCACGCTCTGGCCTCACGCGGAGACGGCAATTTTTTTGCTCGAAAAGACACCAAAACACAATTCAAAAGGAATAAACCGAATGTCGATATGTCACTCTGCACTATAAGCAGTGGTTCACATGGGGGCCCGCGGACCGCCGCGAAGCCCTGCCTCCCGGCAATTAAAGTTGTCTTCTATCAGATTGAGAACAAACGTTCCAATTTTCGGGTAGTTTTTTCGTGTATATGTCAATAAGAGAAGTCTACTTCACACTAGCCCTTATATAGCTATAGACGCTTTGCAGCAGCTGTGCATGGGCGCCGCCATAACTGACCTTCAGTTTTTGTTCCCTCTTATTCCGTTCGCTTCACTTCATCATTACCACAACAGGACAGGTTATTGCCATTTTAGATGCTACTGTGCTCTTGTGCCCAGCATAGGCCCTTGTGAAGACCCGTCAACGCCCGCTTCAGTGGCTCGGCATCTCGGTAAGACAAAAGAAGGGCGGCTATGGCGGCTCAATCTGGCGCGTGTGTACAGCGTCTATATCCATTTATTAAGTCACTATTATAATTAACCTAACACTTTTCCTTCCCCTCACCACGAACGGGGTCCTCCATCATCTCCGCCGATCTACAAGGGGTCCGCGAAACATCAGTGGTTGAGAAACACTGCACTAGAGTTCTTGTATAGGCTCTATACGGGAGCCAGAGTTGAGCGTCTGTTTTCAACGTGCCGTAGCGCCGCTATTCGCCGAGATTGATCATGTGAGGAGCAAAGAATGCAGCTCCGTGCAGGAAAGCCACCGCGCCCCGGCATATGTCCCCCTGCTTTTGCCTTCTTCTCCTTTCCTGTTGTCAATGCGCGGCGGCGAGCGCGGAGCCGCTATTCGCCGATTTCAGTCATGTAACGAGCAAAGAATCCAGAGACGTGCAGGAAAGCCGGCACTACGGCCACCCGCCGAGGATGACCCGGATTTTCTATTCTCTTTGCGGGGAGCGGGGAGGGGCAACCAAAAACGGCCAGGTCGCGTTGACGACGCCAAGTGGCAGATCATCACCACGCCAGCCCCCAGGCAGCTTTGCCCGTGCTGGACCAAGTGACGTCGCGTCTGTGACGTCAATTGGTCCGCTCCCGTGATGCACCGTGCTCTTCTATGGCTGACCTTCGAGCGCTCGCTGAAATCGCTCCTTTGTAACGGAAAATTTAGCCATCCGTTCAAAATACAAGCTTGCGATTGTCACTACTAGAATGAGTTGATTATGTATAACTTATTTCCGAACGTGAGAGGTATATTTTAAGTTTCGATTCAGTACCCCTTAAACGTACTCTTAGATCTTTTTTTCTTGTGTTCACTTCCCTTCTGGAATGCACTTTGTACTCTGAGGGCAAAGCGTTCGCAAATACGGCCTCAGGAAGCCGCCATCTTGCTCTCTTGGGGTGTGCTTGGACGGGTCATAATCCGACTACGACGCCTCGCTAAGGTGTCGTAATTGGATTATGACGTGCCGCACAAGCACACCTCAAGCGAACAAGATGGCGGCGCCCTGAAGCCGTACCTTTGCTGTCATCCTGGCTAATCCCCCCTCCCCCTAAATAGAAAAAAAAAATAAAAAAGAAACAGATACAAGACGCGCTCAAAAGGACAAGGTTTTCTTGACGAAAGTCCTCAGTCAACTTGGGCATTGGTATCCCCCTTCTTGTCCTGAGCTACATGCCCAAGGGGATTCGGGTCGTGCTCCACAGCGAGAACGGAATTTTGGGTGTGGTAAGTCATTAGATGTTTTCGTAGATCGTTTCGATGACTCCGAAAACAATAACCGATAGCGATACGATGCATGAATGCGCAAGGGCGTCGGCGGAGTATCGGGTATCGTTATCGGAAGTACCGGGACGATCTACTCAAACTGGCTAATGATGAAGATTCGTACTTTGGTTTCTTCTTTTGATACCGTGTTCGACAGCTGACTAGGTCACGACCCGTGACTAATGAGCCGAAATTAGAAGGGTCGCGAACGGCACCGGGTGAACGGTCAACATCCGCTCGCACGCAAATAGCAGAGGCATTTTTGACACACACGTGTGCGTGCGTCTGTCCGTCTGTGTGTTTGTGTGTCGTTGGCGACATTAAGCGAACAGAGGTGGAACGAGGCCCTTCCCAATTATCCCTTTTCTTCCTCTCCTTTCCCTTAGTCAGGCCGCCGCTGAAGCGATCGGCGTTGTCGAGGAACGTCATTAAATGTCAAGTTGGAAATATGTCTTGTCCTCTCCCCGTCCTTTTTGGCGTTCATGTTGCTTTCTTTTATCCCAGTAACAAGAATATGTTTTGTATTGTACACGAGTAAAATTAAGCGAAAGTCCGCTCGACCAGGAGGAATTCAATTAGTATGATGAGCAACTCCGAAATCAGAACACTCCGATTACTACGTGTACTATTACAAAAGAGGTCACTATAACGGGCCAGGTCTTCAGAATTTACCAAAACAAAACAAGTTGCGAAAATCCTGTTTTGTTATAAGGTTTGATACGCAGACTATTTGGATCTGCGACTGACGTCAGACGCCCGATTTTTCATACTGTGCCCTTTAGTCACTGACCGAATGAGGCGGAGGGACAACAAACGGAATTTCAGTAACACCTTCAGCGGAAGCTTCGATAACTCTTCGGCGTCTTGTGAACCTCGAGCGTGCACGCAAAGCCGAACTACGAAGGAAGGCAACGAGCGCATGCTGGAGGTCGGTTTGTCGGAAAAAACGCCATGCCCTTCTCACTCTGCCGGTGACTTAACCTCAGATATATATATATATATTTATTGTGCTTAACGTATGCTAAATTTGTCTTCGTCTAATGACTGACTGATGACTGACTGATGACGTTGATGCAGGGCCCTTACCCGACGGAAGATGAGGTGGACCCTGACATCATCAATCCTGGCAAAGAAACAGTCACCGCACTGCCTGGAGCATCCTTCTTCAGCTCCGACGAATCGTTTACGCTGGTCAGAGGGTGAGGGTAAAACAGAGCAATGATCGAGACAAGAAGAAGTGCTAATCCACAGTTTTAGACGTTAGTGGCATAAGAATGACACACCACTTTGTATACTGTCGACGCTACCTCTCTCCGCGGTAGCTCAGCTGGGTATGTCTGCTGAACTTGGAGTCCATGGTCGGTTTCAACTTTCTTCTTTCCATCTTCTTGGTTTTGACAGGAAGAAAGTTCTGATTTCAGGCGCGTGTCCTCGTGGACGGTTACTTTGACAAATCTGTTTGTGCCTTTCAAGAAGAAATGTCTGCCTGGGCTTGGCATTCAACGAAATTGGTGGGTAGTCGGAGGTGCGTTGCTCAGAGCTGAAAATACCCAGTACTCACCACGAGAAATGTCACGAATGACAAGACAATCGAGTGAAGTAGCAAGGAAACTTAAGAAACATTTAGACAGAACTGCGTCGTAATATTTGACGTGTGGTCTTCCTAGGCAATACTGAAGAGGACTGCATTGTTTTTTCAAAACCAAAAATGAAGCGGAGTTGCCCTTTAAGGCTGATTCAAGCTAATTCGTGCTTGTACAATAGTTAAACGAACCGTTACGCTGCAACGTCCAGGTACGGCTCCTGAGCCGTCGCAGATCTGCGGACCCCCCCCCCCCCCCCCCCCCCCCCCCCCCTTCTCAACAGTCGAGAAGGTTCCAGGCTCGAACCATTGTCACTCTGCGCGATTATTGCCGAACGTTCTATGGTGAGATACACGTGAAGAATGAGCCTGAAGCTCTACCCCCACACCCTCATTACCGCCAGCCATTGTTCCTCCGCGACGCATAAATAGTCCGCTATCGATGCGCACGTCGCGCTGACGTCACATGACTCGTCAATCGTCATGGCTATGTGCCCTGGATGGTCCGCGGAGCGATTCAACGTCGTGGCCAGGTGCGTGGTGGTGTCTATTAGGGGCATGCTAAACCTATTTACAACTGCTATTTCTTAATTATGGACACAACGGCTAATCTTGATTCATATTACCCAGCATGAAAAAGGGTTTCTTAATATTTCGTGACTGCGTTTTAGGGGCCATCTTGACCTCACTATGCTGGGCGGAATGGAAGTGTCGCAACACGGAGATCTGGCCAACTGGATGATTCCTGTAAGCCGACCTCTATTTCATCACCGTAGCAGTGGGAGTATATGGTGCATTGCAGTCTAAAGCGACACTTTAGTTGTCTGAAAGTAAAGAAGGAGCAAGTAACTATACTATACTCCTGACCGAAACCAAAGCTATGTTATTACCAGGACGCACTTAAGTGTTTTTTACTGTTAACTGGTCGTTTGGCCGTCAAGTAAACCGTAACGAAATCTGAAAGTGCTTTCTAGTCATTAGGACGGCCTTCCTACACATCTTAGCTGTCCTCAAGATTATCAGAACATGGTTGTGTTTATTTAAATAAACTACGTATACATCCACCCCTTTACGGATCAATAGTGTCCCTAGAATGTTTTGTGAAAGTGTTTTTAGGCTGAATGCAAACAATAAAGCATGATCGGAAGCCGGGTGCAAAACCTAACTACGACGGTCTTCCTTGCCGTTGCGCCCCTAGCGGTTAAGTTGAGAACTAAAGCCATCGGAGAAACAACGTGAATTATTTGTGTGTGTTTCTGACGCCATGCTCGGCTGACATAGCCGAACGCCGCGTCGGTGTTCGGCTGTGGCTCGTGATCAATCCGTGAAGCACAGATTTGACACGAGACCCATGACGAACGCGGCACGCGTGTCCCATCTGCTCTGTGATCAATCCCCGACGATGACCTAAAACATCCAGCATAGGCCTTGTGATTATAATGCAATTAAATGCATTGTGTAGGATAAACACCAATGTCTGTGAAAGAAGCTAGACAAAGCGTACCCTATATATAGTTCCTATAGTTCAATATCCTCGCCAATAGGGCAAGCTGTTGAACGGGATGGGCGGAGCCATGGACCTGGTGTCAAGCAAAGCGCTCGGGACCAAGGTCGTGGTCACCATGCGACACGTCACCAATGACGGCAGGCCCAAGATCCTGGAGAGGTGCACGCTCCCGTTGACGGGACTCCGCTGCGTCGACCTCATCATCACGGACATGGTATACAGGACACGTTGTCACGCTTCAAAATGATTCCCAGTATTGATTTTGCAAGAAGAGGGCTTTGGGACAAAGTGCGAATGTGGTTTGTTCTTGCTTGCTTTTGTCTCTTCATATTAGCGAAGAGATCTCGTCATCTGTAGAAACCGCAATAAGCCAGACACCCTTATTTGATGCCTGAAGTCTCAGGTGGTTGAAGGTACGGCACTTATCAGAACCCGGCAATGCCAGATTTGGAAGGATTCGGATAGAAAATCATGGCGTATAGGAAGTGAAGGTGTAAGAGCTAGGATTCCAGCAGCGTTTGACTGGGATCTCTCGTTCCTTGTTTCCACAGTGCGTGTTCGAAGTATGCGAAGACCAAGGCCTCACACTTACAGAAATTGCGGAGGGTCTCGGGCTAGAGGACATCATCCGAAACACAGGGTGCGCCTTCAAGGTATAATGTGCATTGCGGCCATATATTCTCGACTTTATGATGCTGTGACGTAAGAGCAGTACTAACCCCGGCGAAACTCCAATAAATTCAAAGAAGCTCAGTTTTCTCGTTGACTTGTACACCTCTAAAATATGCACAAGAATTTTAGAAGTTCGAAGTATTATACTGAGAAAAGGACGTTCTTACTATACAATGATTTTCGTAAACGACATGCAGCTCGTGGATACCGGTATTGGTTTGCTTATAGATAGTTGGCGTAACTTACTAAATGTGCCTATTTCTCCCAGCGGCAACCAAAGCTATAATGCACCAATATAGTGACACAATAAATATACACCGCGGTTGACTTTTTTTTTTATGGTAAACAATTTTTTTAATCAAGAGTGCAACATCCGCGTTCTATTACCGCTAGTTAGGCGCCTGCCCCACGAGTGGGAACTTTGCTGCACCCCCGGGGTTTCCCACGTGCTTCAAGTCGTTCTAAAATTGACCGATTTAGTGGTTTTCGATTATGCGCAGCAAGTTTCTAATTGGAACCATGTGGTTATTTTCAATAATTAAAAAAAACTAACGAATTTTAGTTAATTACTCAACAGACAGTGGCAGTTATACGCTGCTATAATGTCCGCTGAACTCGACAAAAACACCTAGTGAAGACGGCATTCAACTAGCAGTATATGCACTCTTTCTTAAAAATTCCCTGTCCATTAAAAAATATCACCCGGTATATATTGCTCTTTTATTCCATAGGTCTCCTCGTTTTAAATGATTCCTCTGCATATTTGAAGCCAGCTTAACAAGGGCTCTTTGGAAGGGTTTCAGTCGCTACGATTCCGGGCATAGCCCCTGAAGTCTCTAGAATGACGGAGTCGAATTAATAGCACTCTAACGCACCTGTACCTAAATGCATGTATATTACCGCCTCTCCGGGGACGAAATCTCCGAAACAAAAGGTTGATACGAAAAGAACAAAAAGCACAGGGAAAATGAAAATGTGCTCTGCAAGTTTATGTACACCGGCTACAACTTAACCGTCGCAGCTCAAATACCCATAAAATAGGGCATTAAACAAAAGAAAATCTGTTAAAGGAGCTGTGCAACGATTTTAACGTTGAAAGAATTGACATCTTCTACTTTTGACATTGTTCATCTTGTCACAACAGACAGAAAACAACCTCCTTCCTTTAAAATGTTGCGATTCCGCCGCGTAATCGCGAGGCAAAAATTAGAATATTTCACGACCTGCAGTCGCGAGCGGCGGTCATGAGAAACACGCGGCATGACGTCAGTGGAGGTCTTGTAGAAATATAGCAAGTTGTGCGAATACCTGCTCGATAAAAGGCGACTTTTCTTTAAATCTTGTCGTTCCAACATAAATATAAATGCGTCAAAAACCTGGTATCATCGACAAAACTTTTATTATATGGAGTTCTAGGGGCGCCATCTATCCTAGGTCCACAAAACCGTCAGCTCTATCTGCAACCGCGAACAGCCACCAGAAGCCGGAGGGGGAGGGGGACAGAGCCGGACGGGTATGACCGGACCCGGATGAGACTTTCCTCCTTTCACCATATTGTTCGCGCCGCGCCCGCCAGCACGTGGTCACGCGGTCGCGGGCGGATGAGTTCTCGCTGCTCACTGATGGCTCTAAAGAGAGAGCTTCACCAGAACCCCGCGCGACCCCTATTGACGTCACAGCGCACGTGACTCGGAAGATGGTGAAAGAGTTGAGAGGTGCCGAGAACGTCAATCTTTGTCCAATTTTAAAATAAAAAATAGGACATGCAGGCAAAAACAATTTTTTGTTCTTTACTTCAGAAAGGCTGAGACACCAACTCCCAAATGATTTAAACCAAGCACTGAAATTGTTGCACAGGTCTTAAGCGTTTAGTCCAAACAGTCAGCCTGTTTACGATGAATTACTGCCACCGCAGGTGTCCCCCGGACTCAGGCCGATGCAGCAGGCGGACACGTGACGGAAACACACCTACAATCCGAAAATAAAATTGTTTTCGTTTTATAGTTGTTGTTAAACACTGCTTCATAACTTGCTGGACTAAACATGGTCGACTTTTGAAACTAAGCAAGCTGGCTGTCCAGCCTTTTCCGAGAAGCGTTCTGCGCACGCGCGAGCGCCCGATGCCAAGCGGTGGAAGTCGGCACCACAAATCGAGGAAATTCGGAAGGAGGCAGTGGATCACCGAGTAGAACACGTAATTGCAGCATATATATAATTGTGTTACATAAAAAAAAAAGAAAATGGACGGAAAGAAGAACACGACGTTTGGGTGGACGCCACGGATATGCCCCCCTTTAAAGTCGCGTTGGGCACGCGCCGCAGCTCATAGAACGAGGAAACTGGTAGCGTAGCTCCCATTATCGATTGCTAGCGCAGGTAGGTCCTTCCTCGATTTTTACTTCGTGCAGCCACCGCCTGGTGCCGTCGGTATGTGAAAAAGGTCCATTAAAATGCATACGAAGAAAAACAGATGCAGTTTGTTCGGAACCAGGATTTTCACTGTCATGTTTAGCGTAAACGTTATTTTAATGTGTTTAGACCGACTCTAAGCATGGGGGTCGCAATCAGTGTTGCCAGACTGAGAAAAAAAAAGTCAGCAGATTCATCCCCAAAAAGTCAGTAGATTTGCTCAAAAATCAGTAGATTCTACGAAATCTGTATTTTGCCATGTTTTCCTATTTCCATTAAACCACACTTCGAAGAAATAGTATAGAGTAATTGATTTGTGTGGCGATTTCGAGGATTATTCTTTGAAATCGAGACTGAGCCACTTTTGGAATCAACAGATGAGGGCGACAGTGCGACATCCACCTGTCGCTATTTTCGAAACGAAAACAAAACAAGACGTTCCGGCAAGTGCGCGCGTACATGTCCAATGGAAGTCCTCTGCAAGCTGCCATCTTTCCGTACTGGGCTGTGGAAGGATTCTGACGCAACTCTGTCGGCGCGGAGCACTGTTGAGGCTACGCGTCGTCATCTACGGGCTTATTTCTTTTTCTCCTGACTGAAGGTTTGCGTTCAAACGTGGAGGAACTTAGTTCGTTAGCTCCTTAAGCCACCGAGGATTAACATTAATTATATCATTTTCTTGCCAGAGCCTGCAAAATTAAAGTAAAGAACCAAGATTTGGATGTCGGTCCCATGCATTCCGCCGGTTGAATAATGAAAATGGCGGCCCTCTCCGCTCAGCTGGGAGCATATGGCTGGGAACAGCCGAGAGTTCACGCGCATGCGCTCACGCCTCTCGCTCTGCGCCGCAGGCTGATTGGCTCACTTGGGAGGGGGGCGTTACAGCGGCGAGATCATAGACTCGCCAAACTTTCACCATATATGGCTCTGGCCCGGATGTTACCGTCGAACCGTCCAACGTTGAATCGTCGAACCTGCTTTGGGTGAATAAATAGATGAATATACGGCTAAGTCACTCGAATATAGGACGGGCTTCTGGGCCATCTAGCCAGTGCTTCGTTTTTAATTCTGGGAGAATATGAGTTTCCTTTGATGGCCGGGCGACCCTAGGAACTGATGGGGCCATAATAAATTTTAATATGTTTACAAAAAGAAGTCAGTAGATTTTCTTTTTTTGCAGTGAATCATGAGACCCGGATTGAAATCAGTAGATCTACTGATAAATCAGTAGACCTGGCAACACTGGTCGCAATGTTAGTGGATATTCAAGGAATCTTCTGGACGGCCTTTACATAGCCGTCATGGTTTCGTTAAAAGAGAGCTCCTTTGCCATCATATCATCTTGTTTTACTCGATGTTTGTGCGTTTTAGCATTTGGCTCGAGTTGAATCTCTTGGAACTCTTTAGTTCTCAATTTAGCCAGTGTATTTCCGACGAACGAAATAAGCTTCATGGGAAGGTAAAGAAGTTTTGGGCGATCAGAACTGGAAAAAAAAAAAACAGTCCTTTTGTTAGGTTGGGTTGTCTACCTGGCAACTAATGCAACTAAAGCCCAACTTGTCCAATATATGTATATATTAGTGATGGGCCGAACTTTTACCGAATCGAAAATTCGGCGCCGGATCTTAAAAACTTTTCTAAAGATTCGGCAAAAATACATTGTTGCCAGACCTAAAAGTTGGTATATTGTTTTGGCCTGCGAAGGAAGTTTTTAGGTTTTTCTAAATAGATATCGACACAGTTATTACCAAATAAGCTGATATTCTACAAAATAATTGTACCGGTGTCATTTGTGTGTGTTTACTGGTAATTTAAAAGTGACTTTTTGCAGAAGTGGTGTGACAATGGGGGTTTGGTAGTAGGGGGCGCAGTCAGCGCAGTCACGATACGCAAGTTTCGGGTTTGAGGCCTCATCAGTGCACGCCTGCAAGTGTGTACTGTTGAAATAAAGGCGGTAATACTGCGTTCTTACTTTCACTGTGAGTCACCGCTTCGTGCGCGAAAATGAATGCAACGGCTGCTGGGCCTTCACCAGAAGAGATATTATTGTAAATATGCATGTTTTTCGAATTGAGTCACTTCAGCTTTGCATGAAAGTGTGCGTCCCATATTCGCAACGTCTCGTTTTTCACTTTTAAAATGCCGGTTTCTGATGTTTGGACACACTGGACATTTAGCAAGACGGACAGATAATTAGGAATGTCGGATGTTTAGCGTCGAGCACGATAGTTGTGTGTTTAGTTTTATACGGATCGATGAAAACCGCGAAATAACGCCAATTGAAAAGCAATATTTTGTTTTGGAGCGAACTACTTGTGAGCCGAAAACAGGATTGCTATTATGGCGAGGAGTGCTTTAAATTTCTTGTCAATGTTGCGACTACCTCGTTGCATCACTGAGAATATCAAATGAAAATCACGTTATCCCCAATGTACCGCATCATTTGTCAGTTGCGTAGTGGACTAGGTCGTTTTTGCGTAAATTTTTGGTAGATCTTTTGTTCTTGAGGCAGAAAATATTGAAGAGAACCACATTCACAAAGGCTAACACTTACCATGTCGTCTACTCCGCACCTCGCCGTAACCGATGGTAGCACTACACTGTGGTACGATGGTAACCGCACGACAACACGGCGTCCATTTGCAATCCATGGCCCCGTCGAGTTCTAACGCGTGCGCAGACGTTTGCCGAATTTTCGCCGAGTCTTTGCCGAACTTTCCTTCAAAAGTTCGGCATGTGCCGAACTTTGCCGAATCTGAAGTTCGGCAGATTCGGTCCATCACTATTGTTTACGTGACGTCACGGACCACGTCGAAGCAACTCGCGCTCTGGGAAATTCTCGGTGCACGAAGAGCGCTCCGGTGGCACTACTGTCCGTTTAGTGAAAGGAGCGCCAAACTCTCGCACTCCGGAGCACGCGCCCACTAGGGCGTTTCCGTAGACCGCGATTCCTCCTCTGCCAAGTTCTCCGCAACGAAGAAGCCGCTACTACGCCTGCGCGCCGATGACCTTGGCTGTAGAGTTCCAAGTATCGTAGCGGGTTGCGGAGAGCGTTGCGGGACGACGAAAACGCTCTAGGAAAGCTCCCTAATATTCCTACGGCTGCACTTGTCAATCTTCTCTCACTCCCAATACGCAGCGCCACCCCATGGCGCTGCGTGTCCGCGAGGCAGCGGCTCCACCGCTCCACACCAAAGGTCAGCGCGCCGAGGAGAGCGCGCGCGCTCGACCGCCGACGCAAGTACGCCGCAGACGAAATAAGGGAGCGGAAGCGCGGCATGCATGCTTTCGCATTCACAACTCATAAGAAGTGCTCAGGTCACCGTGGCTTAGGTGTACCTCGAGCCTTTTTCGTCTTCGGCGTACTTGCGTCGACGGTGGAGCGCACGCGCTCTCTCGGCGCGCTGACCTTGGGCGTGGAGCGGCCGAGCCGCTGCCTCGCGGACACGCAGCGCCATGGGGTGGCGGTCGTTGAAACTGAGGCGCAGCGGCCAATGGGAGCCTTGTTTCTTGATACTAAGACGCGCGCCAGCCAACGGGACCGAAGCCGAAATCGATCAGGTTTACTTCGCTTCTTTGGGATCCGGGAGAGTAGGTGCCGTTTGGCTAGGCTTTTCGCGTGGTTTCAAAGCTGGGAGCCGGCTTCATTTGGAGAAAGGAGTTAAGGTGCCGTTTGGCGCGGCTTCAAAACTGATGACGTCGGCTCGCTCCATGGGACAGTTAACGCTTTCGCATTAAAACGAGAAGGGAGCCTTTAAAATGAGCAGAGCGAGGTTTAATAGGGAGTTCACTTCCACTCCTCGTTCATCACATGCACCGCTGTTGGGTCCAACTGGGGTCCGATGATTGGATGATACTGCATCATGTATGGTCCCAGCCAACTGCAAAACGAAAATAGGACTATCGTTAAGGCCCTCCAAACTAGGCTGTCATAGAATAACGATCTGCGTTACTACAAACAATAGCGTTACAATTAAAAAAAAATCAATTTTCTATCACCCTGAACATTGATACCACCTATGTGTAAAAGACATCAATCTATACCCCCGATCTTTAGCGAAGATAAACGCCCATAACCGTAAAAAGGTTCCAATATGAAAGCTTTATAGCGCAGATGTCCGCGTGCTTCAAAATGAACGCGTGAACAAGTTTTCTTCATTCCATGCGCGCGTACGCTCCCACCTACCCACCAGATTTTATATATTCATGTTCTCAAGTCAGAATGGTATGTGACATGAAATTTAAATCTGAATAATAGTGTACGTGAAGCAGTGCCTGTAATAAACTCGGGTACGCAGTTAGAGACGACAGTGTTCTCCCAGTACAGGAGTGTAATTGCATTGATCTTGGTCGAAGCCTGAACAAACAACTAAAACGTGACGAATGGTACTGCAACCCTGGTCTTCTCCACAGGGGAAATCTTTGCGAGTAAGGTTTGACTGTCCCATGTGGAATCGACGTAATCAAACTTGACGGAGTAAATCCTCAGTTAAAGCACTCTCCCACAACCAAAGAAAAAGATCGTTTTCTTTTTCATTTTGCTTGTCATTTAAACATTAATTGACGCCCATACGATAGGATTTCAATCCTGGTGGGGTAAAAGATATGCTGAGTGCATACCTTTTTGGAGGACGAATCGTGTTAGCTTTATCACCCCCCGTACTTGACTTTGCACCTAGTAAAATACGAGATAATGTCCATCCCGTAATGCGCGGCTAATCTTGCCACACACAAATTGTACCAGCCAGATCATTATTTGTGTCTTTAAGACAAAAAATCGGTGACGCCAAACTCTCGAAGTACCTAAAGGTTTTAGTGGTAATAAACTCACAAGACGTAGCAGCACACCGATGTCAGCACCATCATGGTTTGAACAATCCTATAAAAAGTAAAAAAAGAGGTGTTATTAAGATGATCGGCATTTGTACCACTCTCTAATAATGAAAGACTTCTAGAAACTAAATTAATCGCATAGAAGGTCGGGGGAAAATAGTCATTGAAACTGCTAGTGCGAATGCAAAATCGTCAAAAGTGGAGGTGTTCGCCATGTGTCCATTGAAATAAAACAACACTAATAATCATAACACTAATAACCGCTAAAAACAAAACAACACTAATAATCATGCTTTTTTTTTCGCGCAAGTTTACGGGCTTTTTAGCTATATATATATATATATATATATATATATATATATACAAACACTTTATACTTTAATCGCCGGGAAATGTCACGACAAACTTGGTAAGTTCCGACTTATTTTGACTGCGTGAAGAGGGTGACGAGAACATTCGGTTTTATTTTGGATGTACCGCATTTTTTCCGTAAGCTGGAACGTGCCAACAAACGAAACAGAAATGTACAGCCCCTTGCAATATGAAAGACCCACTGGAAGCGTGGCAGAGACGACATCGGGGTGAGGGTGAGCGCGCACGCTCCGGGCAATTCCATTTTGCCCCAAGGGGAGCTCTCACTCGGGGCCCAACCATGCGCTTGACAGTTTTTGGTTTCGGTTTCGCGGAAAAGCGCTTTTCACCGGCGTCAGGCCAAGAGGTATGGTCACGAAGGCTTGAAATGAGCATAGTCATCAATGCTTTTTCTTAATTGCTTCAGTTGTAAACTGTCAGAACAGGCACTGTCAAATACACAAATATTGCAGTTATACCCGAGTACAATATTTAAAAGATAAAATGCGTTAAAGAGCGAATTCGTGAGAAAAATGACACGAATCTCGCGCTTTAAAAAGCAGGCAGCAATTGGGACGTTAGTAGGACATAGCAGTGGCATGACGCAGACGAACTGCCATTCGCAGCGGAACCGAAACCAGGAACTTAAGCAGAGTCCCCCCTCCCTCGCTTCGAGCGAGGGGTCCATATCACAAGAGCGAATGACATTTTAGCGAACGGCGACATTTGAGCGAATGGTCGTTTTAGCGAATAACGGGGGCGCGCGTTAACCCATCCGTCGCGCTGCGCTTTACGCCGCTTCGCGGCGACAGTCTGCGGCAACTCATTACAAAAATATTAACTCATTTGGCCCACCCGAAAACGCCGCTTCGCGGCGTCCGACTATTCGCTAAAGTGTCATTCGGTGAAACGTGGGCGTTCGCTAAAACGTCATTCGATCAAGTGAGTGCCTCCCTCGAGCGAGTCCTCCACTTGGAGCAGGATGGAATCGCCCGGAGCGTGCGCAGCGCCCCCACCAACCACCGTCTCGGCCATCTCGGTCACACGCTCCCAGTGGGTCTTTCATATTGCAGATGACTGTACCCTCCCACCTTTCCCGTCGCAACCACAAAAGTTTTTTGTAGTTGTTAATTTAATTGCCTTTCTGTGTGGCCAAGAACAGCAGAATCGTTTATTGAATAACTATCTTTAACAGACGTTTCCAAAAACACAAAAATAACACCAAAGAGCGAGAAAACAAAATTGCTTTAAGTATGATAAATCAATATGCTAATTCCATAGCGCTCCCCAACAACGCGTGAATTAGCTCTTAATCATCTGCACAACATCGCAGACGTAATACGTATACATCAGAGAAAAAAGCCTCGTAAATTTCCAACCGCTAATGTTCTCAGGCTCGCGGTTACCGAACGGCATACACACGTCAGGAAATTGTGATACATTTCCTAGACGTCGGGGCTTCCACCATCCCAAAGGCATTCTGCTTGACAAGTTTGCACAACTCCAGATTGCTCGTAAAAGCGTACAAAGGAAAAAAAAAAAGGAATAAAAGATCACAGTGAGGAACTCGAATTCTGTATCATCCATCAAACTTCGTTAAGCGCTTTTTTTTTCCGCACTGCAACAGCGTTTTTGTTGTGTGTAGGTGTACGATTTGGCTGGTAGAAAGAATGAAGCCTGGTTCAGACAGTTGCGTTTGACTGCGTTTGACTGCGTTGCGGCAGCGAGAAACCAGGACATCCCTGCTGCTTATATCGCGTGCCAAGATGATTCCTTGGATTGGATTCCACGCTTCATACGAAGCACAGATGTGCCGGTGACTACCTTTCCGCACTCGACGCAACGCAGTCAAACGTACTCAAACGCAAGTGTCTGAACCGGCCTAAAAACCGCTAACCCCGGTGACGCGAAAGCACGCGAGAACGACGCACGCCCACCTCAAAACCCACACGATCTTCGAAGAAAGAAGCTGGGTGACTCTGGGTGCAACACCTCGAGCACTCACCCTCGGTTCTCTCCTTTGGGCACGAACCACGGCAAGATGGCTCCGGCGACAAACCAAACCAAGGTGTTCACGATCACGGGCACTGCAGTCGGCCCCATGGCGATGCGTAACAGACCTCAAGCCGACGCAGAGATTGACTGCTACGGCTCCGAGCACATGATCGAAGGCTCCATTATCGCGCTACGACAACTCGCTTATCTCACTTCGCACACGAAATCGCTCGAGTGAGCTTTGTAACGCCACTACTACGATACGTGCCGCGTAGGCGAGCACCGCGGGCACTCGTCGACTAGGAAAGAGAACCGCCCCCTAGCCCTGTCGCTCGTTCCAAGGGGCGGGTTAAAAATAATACAAACAAAACAAAGATCAGCTTTGCCTCCTGCGTTCGACGTCGGATGTTACGTGTCATGACGTCAGGTTCTACGAGCACGCAAGCGGGCTGCCGTACACCGACGCACACTTGAGTGATGCGATCGCTCCGAGACATTTTGGAGCAGCGAAAGAGACTTTTGTTACAGCACGAACTTCAGGCTATTCTTCGGAATCTAGAGATAGTTTAGTTTCAATTGAAACGTTATTGACTAAACCGTCGAACAGTCGAAGGGCAATCTAGTGGGGTAGCTTAAACGAGCGATTCCACATCAAAATTAAATGTGTAGCGCAGTCCAGCCGCACCTATTCAAGGTTATCCATAAATCCCCTCTATACTTCATCCCACAAATTTACTTCAGTGCTAGCAAAGCCGCGAGCGGGAAGGCGGGACCCTGCGGAAAGTTCGCTCGTAAATCAAGGCCATTGATGCACGCAATTTGTCAAGATATCGCAGTCTACCCAATATACAAGCGGCCGTTTTGTAAATTCAACCGCAAAATAATAATGTACTTTTTTATTAGATACTTGACGCGAGCGCGTGCATTTTACCACACCGGAAGAGTGCTGTTCCCCTTAGCACGCGTCTGGCACTGCGGCGAAGCGAGCTACGCAGGGCCACGACGTCTGCTCCGCGGGTGTCGCTTCTCCGCAATGCACCCGGGCCCGGCAAGAAGCTAACCCGCCTGAGCAGACCGCGAACCATGGGGAACATTGCGAAACCTTCAAGCGCAGCAACCACAACACCTTACGTAAATGTTACGTTGATTATTTAAAGAAAAAAAAATTTGTTTGGGAAGCTTGGAGCTTGTTTCTTCGCATTCTACTGGTACTCCTAGTTCAACATCCAGAAATGTTTGCTGTTGATCTTGTTTCATTATTTTTTATTTACGTATATAGGGCTTATCTCAGTATTAGTATTAGCATGCTTCTTTACAGGTACAAAGAGTGTATACTATTATTCTTTGCATTTAATTTTTCTGGAGCCATACTGCTAGGTTGAAAAAGAGAACTATATTTGTCATTTACTCAAGGGACGCCTTAACATTTCAAGCCAAAAATGCGTGTCATCTGCAGACAGAATAAGTCCAGGGTACTTGGGAATAGTTGTAAGATAATTGAATAAAAAATACTAATTTTTTTTTTTAAATAATTTTCAAGTGTTCTGTGTTGACGAGAGTGCAGTTTTATTGAGTAAAAGGACAAAACAGATGTGAACACCAATTTGTTTTTATTGAACACTAAGAGGGGCACACTGACTAGTAAACTTAGTTTGCAACAACTTATTTGGCACAACATAAAAGTGTCGGGGGTTAAATTAAGTTCTGTGCAGCATTTAAAAAAATCTGTGTAGAAATATCCCTTAAATGCATAAAATAAAGTCCATTAACTCATAAAGAGCCAGAGTGTGAATGAAGTGCTAAGAAGCACAGCAGCTACAACCATACTAAAATGTGAGGGCAACACTCAAGCACTTGCGTATAAGTTCCCCACTCATCTGCTTAGAGTTTTAACACCAGCATGCTCAGTTCTTGTCTCACTGAGTGCACACTGCTTCTGTCAGCAGTATTTCTCACATCAGCTAACAAAAGATACAACCTACAAAATTGTGTACAAAGGGAAATAAAATGCACCTCCAAGTCAGATCTCATGGTAGGCAGTTCATCTGCATCCAGCAACTAGGTGATGCAAGCATGGTCTCACATACTAGTACAAGTAGTAAGGTTAAACAACCATGGCAGGCCTGACAACTAAATGGACAAAGCTACCAGCAATACGCAGACCACCGTAGGACGCCGTCGAAAATTCAGGTCATCAGGCCACCATCTCTGGAAACCTGTGAAGGATTATTTGCTTAGGTGAACAGCGACAAAAATTTCTTTTTTACATATAACTTATTTTTGTTTTGAGTATGTAACATATTAACATCACCGAGGACTAAAAAAATTACACACAAGAGCCTCACATGCTTGTTCAAGAAAGCAGAAATAAGGAAAGACAAATCAATTAGTTTCAGTTCCTCAGAGAAGGCGGCTCGTTGAACAAGGTACAATTGACGGTGAGCTTTGCTGGAAGCTACTTGTAGGCACTCCACACCAGCATGAACTCACGCTCTGTATGTTGAGGGAAGGGATCATAGCTTAGCTCCTCCCTCAGAGAAAATGTCTAACAAAATCATGAAATGGAAAAAGACAAAACAGTACAGCCTTTTCGAAATTCCGAATTGATGCATAGATTCTGTGCAGTGGCCATTAGTTGGTCATGCACTATGAGCACGCATTAGACACGAGCGCTTCGTCTGCATTCAGGGTGTACTCGGATCGAAACGCATTCCACACGAGTGCTGAGTCAGTGCTAGGGGCAAACTTGGAACCAATCACGGGCTTCATGCCGGAAACGATGAGACCAACGAATGGCGGCTGCGCATAATCTATGCATCATTTCAGAAGTTGGGATGGGGTCTATTTGGCAAGACCCCCGAAATTTGCATATTAATTCCGCCTCACGTACCTGCAGCTACGACCATTCGCCGCGTATGACGACGGCCGTCTCGTTCTTGAGTAGTGGTCCCACCAAGGGGTTCATCTGAGACATGTAGCAGCAGAGCCAACTGCAAATGCAAAGAAAGTGGTTTCAAGAGTGCACCAAACGCTGTGTACTTTGGCAACACAGATGGATGAATAGATGGTCGTAGTGGGTGTGCTGTACCCCTCGTATTGTGGTAGCTTATTCCACCAAGATGGTGCCTGCTGTAATGAGGTTGATTTAATTATATAAGTTGTATAAGCAATGTACTAAACAAGAAAAGCCATGTTACGAAACATCTGCACGCTTCTTTAGCGAGCCTGCACACTCTCCTTACTGGAGTAAAAAAAAAGTGTCAGGGTTTCGATGAAGGATCTTCTTTCAGTTTCCCTACTTATTCCTTTGGTTTTGTCTTCTATGACTAAGCACTACATGTTACTTTAAATATACTAAGCTTCGTGGCTTAAAAGTTCGGAGCTACCTAGCTGAGACCCCTAGAAGTGTCTACCAGTGCCTCACTCAGCATCCGTGCTGTAAGACTCTCTCGGTCATTCATTTGGTCAAGACCTTAGCAATATCACGAATGACGCCATTTACATGGATGGATGAATGAATAAAATTGAACCTTTAGAATAGGGTGATGGCTTGTGCCCCCTAGCCAGTGGAGGCAACATTATTTGGTGGAGGCACCTCAAGTAGAGAGAAAAGGAACTAACCTCCACTGAAAATATGCTGCAAAGACTAGCTCAAGTGTGAAACATTAGGATAAGGGTAAGAAAGCATGCTGTTTGAAGTCGAAAATAAAAAGATAAGTTAGGTTGTGCCACACCAAAGGAAATTCAAATATTTCGCTTCAAGCTGTACATTGCAGAAACTTAGACATGAAACTAAGAAATAAGGGCAGAGAGGGAGCAGAGCATTTATATTCTTTATTTTACTCTGTCGAGTAACGATGTTAACTCAGTTGAGGTAGTTTAGGAATAGCGAGTGCTGATATTGGTGATCCCGAGAGGAAATGTCAAGGAGAATAAAAGAAGGTCGGCAAAAGGAAGCAGGCGCAAGGTGAGGTGCGTTCGTTTTGCGGCGACCGGTTGAAACAGTTTGGTTGTTCATCAACTTTAGGTTTCACTCCATATGATTTATGTTGCCGGTGTTTGTTGCAAACTAAGTAGTAAGCTATCACTGAGCAAGGAATAGCTTACTACTTTTCTCTGTTTATTAAAGGGGCCCTGCAATCACATTTAAGCGTCTACCTTTTTTGCGGTTTCCATGTCTCGGGGTTTGGGTAAGCCAGCGGGCACGGAGAGAGTAACTAAATATCAGTGCGTCATATTTTAACCGGACGACGCGGAAACCTCCTCCACCGACGAGGGCGACCCGCGGTGCCGAAAGTGTGCGGTATGTGACGTCTTTGGTCCTGGGCTTACTAATGGTCAGAGCCGCTGAAAGCTTCTTTTTAGTCGAAATACAAAATATGAGTGGCGCAAATTATTTCAACTATTTAGAAAAGTAGTTTTTGTTCTGTATTTTAGATCAGAAAAGAAACAAATGCAGTTCATAAAGTACGGAAACAAGAAATGACCCGTCGACATACCCGCCATCAAGCGGTGGAAAAGGCAGCGCATACTAGAAAGGAGTAGTGGGATCAGGCGCCGACACGGAAAGGTCCCGGATGTATGCGGCGGCATTGCGGTCGTATGGACAGGAGGATCCAACCGGCTCCGAGCGTTCCGAAGGCCTTTGGCGAGAAACTTTGTCTTGCGGTTTGGCCGTTTCGCAGTATGGCAGCGCGAAGTGGCTCCCATTCTGAACTGATCTTTACCCCGTGTTTGCTGTCGTTTGTGGCCGATGAAGTGTCATGCCGAACTAGCATTTAATCTCACAGCAAATGCAATGAGAGCTGCTCTGGCTGCCTTCTGCATACAGTTTATCCAGAACAAGCTTTAGTGGCACCCTCTCGCGCCGTCGACACGGAGTGCGGCAGCTGTGAGCGCTCGATAAGCTCACTACCCCTCCTCTAGTTCACGGCCACTCTCAAGCAACCAAGGACATCATGAGGGAGGTCATTTTTTGCTTGTTTTTGTAACTTTAATTTGCTTATAACTTTTAATATAATGGGAATTTCGAAAAAGAAAAGTTTCATTAAGTTACTACGTTCAGTGCGCTCAGGTTCGGTGCAAATTAAAAACCAGTCAAAAAGTCCTTGCACCCGCCAAGGTTGCCGACAAGACCTTAAGGTCTTGTCGGCAACCTTGGAACCCCAGGGCCAGCGAAGACAGCATTTATGCTTTTTGGCTTTGGGGCAGCTGAAATGCGTGGAAAAAATTATTACACAAACTTTATGGATGTAACACATAATACTTGTCAATAATATTGTGAGGCTGATTTGCTAATCACAGCTAGCTAACAATGCAATATATGGTGGACACCGGCTGTGGGGATCGAGCTGCTAACAGGTAACATGAACTAATAAAACTCACCGAAGTAATAAATAAGAGAGCTTTACTCACAAAGTATAACAGAGTACTGCCGTGATGCCAATCATGGTCTGGATCATCCTATGGAAAGGAGGAAAAAAAACAAAATACTGAATTTTTTGGTCTCGCGACATTGAAAGACCGAGCAAAGAAATTCATTTACTTTACCGTAAATAACACATGCTACCCATTCAGATCCTTGCTGCAAGCTTCAGCGCTCTTGCGCTGGGCACAACACGAGCGATTGTGGAAAGATTCCGATGAGCACTTGCGAAGCGGCAGCTGCAGTAGCGGACCACGCTTTGAGTGTGACCGTCAAGCACGCGCGCTCAATGCAGCGCAAGCATCATTCAAGCGAACCTGCTCGCGCTTCTGCAGGTTGTTGCGGCTGACCGAGCGTGAGGCTTCTGACAGGCAGTCGCGTGCAAGCGGCCCGTTAAATGTCACAAGATCGGTGTACCGTCCTCGTGCTATCGCGCAACCTGTTTAGATGTTGGAGGAGAGACAATATGAAAAGTAACAAGCTGGGAACGTACCCTCTGTTGTCTCCTTTTGGCACGAACCACGGCACCCCGGCCCCGACTCCGAGCCAGAAAAGCGTGAATAATGACACCGGTAGAGCCGAAGCAACCATCTCGAAGGCCTTAAGTTGTGGATGTTAACGTTCAGGTTAAATGTTCCGAAAAGGAAAGGAAAAACAACGCCTCTGTCGTCGCAAACCTTCTTCAGAGCTGACGAGCAGGCACGATTCAAGTGGACAGAAGATGCTGCCGCAGTTGCGTTCGCTTACACCATCGTTGAACTTCTGCGATTGTAAAAACGTCATGACAATGTCACGTGACTAAATCTAAGTAGCTTTTTTAGAACTACACCAATACTACTGTTTTTTTATTGCTTTTAAAATTAAAATATTTCATTTTATTAGTCGTAATGCAATAAAAATTGAGTGTTTTATTGAATTATTTTACAAAATAAGGTGTTAATCGGAAGCGTCGGAAGGATGGTAAGTAGGATAGCTTTGAAGCCAATCCGATCCGAACCGAAGGGAGCCTCGGTCAGCTGATTTCTGTAGGCTCTCGTTTATATCGCGGCCTACTGTAGTATTTACCGTATACCAATCTTTAAGCATAAATGGTGCTGGCTTTCTTGATTCTCTCCGTTTCGGAGAAGGCATCGGGCGTCATCCACTCAACCGCCTACAGCCTGAACCGAGCGGGAACGTCCCACAGCGACGAGTCGAACACGGTCCGCAATGAGCCCGACGAACTTGAAGAAGACTGCCAACGCGGCCCGAGCGAAATGAATGAAGAACACAAAGCCCAGAGCGACCTTTTCAAGCGGGTGCACCAACACGTCGTCGAAGACATGAAATCGGCCTTGCACCACACCTCGATCGCCGGCGCCGAGGCCTCCCTGCACCCCATCGAAAAGAAAGGCGCGTTCTTTCTGAACGACGCCGATTCCCCAGAAAGCATAGTAGTGTGGCATTCGTTCGGAGACTGCTGCTTCGTGCTGATGTGCGACAGCGACGAAAACGTCTCCCTGGGCGGCCAGATATTGAGACAGATAATCCACAGTATCTCGTGCCACGTCGTGTTCGTGACGCCGTCCGAGCTGCTCGCGAAGGCTGGACTGGTGCACGCGATCGTCAAGCTCTATCTGCCTGCGGGGAAGCTTCTGTTTGTGAATCAGAACGTTGTGAAGCAGTATGAACAGTTGCTGCAGAGAGTGGCCGCGTGAAGGGGAGTTTTTAAGCATCCGGTTTTATTTGCCGAGTGCGCACTTTAACTAGGGACACGTGACAACTCTGATTATTCAGATGCTATTTATTTTTTTATTGTTTATTGACACCTGACTTTTAAGCAGAAGCGCTGCTACTAAAACACGGACCAAATACGTTGCCACATGCTCATTTGTAATCGATATCATGCCGAGAAAATCGGAAGTCTTTCTGGACTTATGTTAGCTTGATATTCTCTAAACTATGTGTCTTTCTAGTGTAAATTATGTCAAATCAACCAGTGTGTCTATGACAAGCGCGGCTGCAGCCTGCAGCCCTACGTATGTTAGAGACTAGGCAAACACCTTTAGCTGAAACGAAATGATTACCTAAAACCGTGTCAGCTGTGCAACAACGATGTCCAGAATGCACTAAATTTGTGATGAGGTGCCCTGCTGAGTGGAATAAACTTTCTCTGTGCACAACAGGAGCTGCAGATCTGATAAGTTCATGTCACGTGGGTGCTGGGTGCGACTCGCTGATATGTCACTTTTACCAAAGGGGTTCCAACAAAATGATGCAAGAGTGGTATGCAACAGTAGAGACACTACCATACACTCAATAATTGAGTATGTTTATAGCGTACTAAAGTGGTAGCCTCAGCCAACAATGAATAGCTGTTTCATTTCTAAAAAATCTTATTATAAACAAAAATAAGTTATTTAATCTAAATTCTCATATTTGTGACTGCACACTGCTCAGTCGTAGATGCTCCAAGTGCTCTCACATGCTGTCTTTCCCATTTGTGTACAGGGGCGGATTTAGAGGGGGGGTCCGGATGTCCTGACCCCCCTCTTGATTTCTGCATGTGTAAAATTTAGGGCGTGAAACGAGGGAGAGGGGGAGGGGTTTCCTAATCAAATGGTACGCCGACCAACACCTGACCTCCCTGTTTGTGTATCTGTAGTGCACTGTCTTCCATGCCCACAGCACTAAAAGGAAGATGCACAAGAGACACTAACAACCAACAGTGTTGCAGTAACTGTTCAGTGACCAAACTAAAATGAGACGTAACATTCTCAGCTTCTACGAATCCGAGATAAAAGTTTCACTAGTTGAGATTTCAAGTGAGTTAACATTAGCCTAATTATGATGACTGTGGCAAAATCATAATATGTAACGTCTGGGCTATAGTAGTCTTTTACTCCTATTATGCTTCTGTCAAAGGAGACTGCAAAGTGCTGCAAGGCTAGACTGTGCACAACATTGCCACGGCAGCATAGCTGAAGCCATTAGTTCTCAGATTCCATGAATTAGAATTGGAACAAAGTATGTGCACGTCGCCTCTAGCTCATACGGGAAATGAAAAGAATATGCCCTTCGTAACCGATAAAAAGGTTTTATTAAGGTTATAGAAAACGTTTCATCAAAAAGGTGATCGAAATTGCTCTCCCCTCATGCACCACAACATACAAGGCCTCACCCCACTTTGGGCTTCTTCACTGCACCGCACTCATCATCTGATTTTGCCACGCACTCCTTGTCGTCCTGTTCCAAAAGATCCATCCAGGATTCGTCGTCTTCCAGACCGAACCATTCGTCCAGGGTTTTCTGCTTGGAGTCTGCACATGTCTTGAGATCCACATCGTAAAAGTTATCCTTGCTTAGCCCTGCCTTGCTCAACGTATCGAGCTTATTCCGCACCAACGGCCAGATGTAATCGTCGGCCGTTCCTTTTGCCACAAGGTACTGCACCATCACACAGTTCTGCTGCCCTATCCTATGCACCCTGTCCTCCGCTTGCGTCAGAATCCCGGGATTCCAGAATAGCTCCGCAAACACAACCAGGCTGGCTGAGCTCAGCGTGATGCCGGCGTTGGCCGCCGTGATGCTGAGGACGGCGACTTTGCACATGTCGTTGTACTGGAACTTGTCACAGAGCATCTTGCGGAGTTCCGGAGACGTCTTGCCGTCGATGCGGATGTGGCTACACGACTTTTTGTCCAGGAGCTCGCACACTGCATCGATGACCACCTGATGGTGCGCGAAGCACAAAAACTTCTGGTCGCTTTCGAGCAGGTCTTCGAGGTATTTGCAGATGGCCTTGCACTTGTGGAGTCCGGTCTCACGGAAGTATGTGAGAAGAACTCCCCTCCGCTGCATCCCTTGGATGCTCTCATTCTGCATTTCCTTTGCCATGTGTTGGAGGACCTTGTCAGTGGTCTTGATGGTCAATGGATCCAGGACAACCACTTGTCTCTGCTTGGCGGGCAGCTGGGATAGAACGTCTGATTTGAGTCTGCGGATCATGACGCTCTTTTCCAAGAGCAGCTGGAGTTCTTGCATGTTTGACGAGCCTGAGTAGTCCCACCCCCACTGGGTCACCTTGCCGTTGCAGTACCGGATCCCATACTCCTGGATGCTAGGAAAGCACTTGGGCCGCACGGCACAAATCTGGGTGTACAGCTCAATGGGTCTCGAGAGGGCAGGCGTCCCGGTAAGTAGCAGGACACGTTTGGCCTTTGCAATGACCTTCTGGCAAGCCTTGGTGCGAGCTGCCTTGTGGCTCTTGATGAAGTGGCTCTCGTCCAGAATGACAACCTGGAACTTGCCACGGATATCGTCCACCTTCCGTGACAGCAGGTCATAACTCGTGATGACGACCTGATGGTCCTTGTCGACCTTGTCGGAACCCGTCACCAATACCGTCACTTGGTCGTCCCTGAGGGACGGCATCCAATGCAAGAAGGCTTCCTTCCACGTGAACCTGACGGAAGATGGGGCCACCACGAGCACAGGCCATTCTTCTCTGAAGTAGCAAGCCACGGCTATGCTCTGGATTGTCTTGCCGAGCCCCATGTCATCTGCAATCAGGAGTCGTCCGTTGCGTCTGATCGCTGTGCACACCCCTTCTTTTTGAAATGGGAGCAAGGCTTGTTCGAGCTTGCAGTCGATTCCACTCAGGCTGACTTCATATTCCTCCGTCGGTGCTGCCTCAAATACCTTCAAGACGTGGGATGGAATCTCTGCCACAAGCACGTTAGGACGCAGAGGCTTCAGTTTCTGCACCAGCTCGTTGTGGCTACTCAAAGCAAAGCTCCACCTTTTCTGAACGGCGTCATAGTTGCGCGAAGAAATGGTCTTAAATATTTCGATCATCTGTTGGTGATACGGTACGTCCACCACAAATCTGCTTAGGGAGACAATGATGCACGAACCGTTGACGATCTTTGCCGGGAATGAGCTGGTGGCACCGGCTTTGAAGGTGCCGTCTTGTTGGCATGGCCCTGCTCGGCTCTGGCCCGATAACTGCGGTGAGTTTTGAGTACCCCACTGAGGCTGGTTTTGTCCTTGATGGTAAAAGGTGGACGTTTTGCTTTTTTGACCGTTATATGTGGTTGCAGTCTGAGATGGAGCATGAACGTAATTTTTAGACGGAGCGGCGGTTGCTGCTTGTGATGCGCTCGCCTTTAGTCGTTCCGCCCGCTTTGCAAGAGCCTTGCGACGGTTCTCTTCGATCAATTTCTTCTGTGCCTCTGTCAGCGTGTCATTGGCGTTCATATCTGTGCTTATTAAACGCAGTACGCATTTCAGATGAAAGAGGAGAGGAGACAATAAGTATCATGTCATATCATGACTCCTGAAATCTGAAACCTCAAATTACCGTCTTCAAAGAACATTTTGAAAGTTTACCGTTCCGTGGAATCAACAAGCTTGCGTGAAATCCGTGAAATAATAGATGGATGGACGAGCACAATCTGACTTCACCCTTAGGCTTAAAGGCGGACACCTGCGCCATCTAGCTAGTAAAACGTAGGCTTATTTCGTGATTTTGCACTACCGTGCGGCCCCTCAATCAGTTTGCTTTTGTTTTGATAAAATTCACGCCAGGCGTGAATTTTATCACGGGTTTTATATCTTCCAGAATTGAAGCGATCCCAATGGCTAGCATCTTGGGTACTGGTTGGCCACACAGTTTCGGTTTCGATTTGCCATCACTTCACGGCCTGCTGTAACGACAAATACGGTGCTTACATTTTCGAATATGCAACTTTCCTTACATTTATAATGCTATACGTGTTGCCTACTCATAAATATGGAATGCTGAGGAACGTTTTTACGGGCTCCCGATGTGAATGAGCTTGAGCAAAGGTAAACAGAGGACGACGATGGCACAAGAGGTATAGACCAGTGTCCGATATCCTAGCCCCCAGCGATAAAAATGGGAAATAATAATCTCAAACGCAGGTTCTTGTAAAGAGGGGGGGCTGCGCATAAAACAATATTTTTGCTTTTTACAACGCTCTTTGCGTCGGTGCGGTTCTTGGAGCTTCGTGACTGTGCATTTCTTACCTTCTTGCACTATACTTCGTTTCACCTTATGTCCGAGCGCGGACGATGTTATGAGCCGAAGGGCCAATCAAACAGCGCAAAAAGCGCAACGTCATGGCGTGCTCCCTGCGCTTGATAGGACTAGCCGGCAGAGGAGCACGCAAAGAGGGACGGCGAATACCGGCTATTCCTATCAACTGCAGAGGGCACACCCTGACGTTGTGCCTTTTTCGCTGTTTGATTGGCCCTTCGGCTCAAAACATCGGTCGCACTCGGACCGAAGCTGAAACGAAGTATACGATATGGGCAAAGGTTTCTAAAAGAAACTGAGCCTTTCAAAAAACGCAGCCCCACTTCTGTGTCATGACGTCAGCATAAACGAAAATGGCGGCGCCCATGGAACAGAGCAGACACATGGCGCGCAGGCGGCTCGACTGCTGTGGTGACGTCACGTGAAAAGTACCTATACTGAGCCGGTCACACCGTAGCATCCTATTCATTGTCCTCGAGTTTATATATATATATATATATATATATATATATATATATATATATATATATATATATATATATATATATATATATATATATATATACCCGTGAGTCGGGAGGGTCATGCTGCACTCTGGAGTGGCAGCCAGGCCACCAGAAATGTAAGAGACATCAATTGAAAATCCCGAGACAATGTCACATCCCTTTTCCTGTTGAAAGTCAATCATACGTTGTGAATTTGGTGTCCTTTTTGTTCGCTTAACTCTGTTTGGGACAATACCCTTGTATTTTTCGCGGCCAAAACACACAAAGGCGATATTCAATTCCGCACCATTGTCCTAGAGAGAAATGGCAAGCCCATGAGCCAACCATTCTGACAAGGATATCCAGTCGGAAGTAAAGGTAAACGACCTCTTCAGAATACCAAATTTCCAACCAGTGATCGACTTACTGCAGGAAAAAGGTAGGGAACACCAAAGAACATACTACTATTCCTCGCCAAGCATACACTACCGCCGCTGGGGGTTCGTGTTTCACAACGGGGGCACTCACGAAGATGAACGGGTGCAATGCAAGCTAGCGCCGACTTTATTTTCATGCAGTGCTCAAATGTATTACTTCGTCAACGGAGCGGTTGAAACCGAAACCATGGCTATGCGGAGTG